ATCTGGAGCAGGGCACTGCTTCAGTGGTAGTCACAAAATAGTTGTGGTGCGCAAGTATGACAGAGTAAAAACTCGTTCATGCCATCTAGTAGATCTCAACTTTGATTACTGGAATTTTTTTTAAGGCAATCACTGCAAATTTGATATTTTTTTCCTCTTTTGAGAAATTATTTGAAAGCAAACAGACATTTTTCCTAGTGAGAAAGGCAGAGCAAATGGAATATGTAATCTAACCAAGCAGGTACTGGATGAAATGTGGTTCTCTAAAAAGCAAATGTGAAATGAGGATATAGAAGCATGGGAGCACACAGTGGTGGTGATGGTATGTTATTGAGGAACTAACTCAGGTCCTTGCTTGCGTACCAGAAAAAAAAAAAAAACCAGCCTCTAAATCTAGCTAAAAATTAGGTTTTTGAAAATAATTTGTTAGCAAATGATATTCATGGAGTTAGCTCATAAAATTGAGTGTTTTACAAAACTTTCAGTCATTAGAAATGAGTCTCTTATTTCTTACCACTGTTCTTTGAAGGGCATACTATTTAAGACATTTGAAGGGGACATGTAAATGTGTATGTTTCTCTACTGGTTGTAAAAATATTTTAATTTGGGCAAATTTGTTTATGTATTCAGACTCTGAATGTACTAAAATACAATTGCTTCCTTAATTTTTGTTTTGATAAACATTTTAATTCTGCTTTTTTGAGTAGGAAGTGTAGGATCTTAAGAATACTTGTTTCTGATGTTTGTTGTTAACAGCAAACCTTTAACCAGTTGAACAGATGTAGTGTGAGTGAAGTGCTAAGTCCATTCTTTTCCCAGATAGGTGGGATGCTTCGTAACCTACATCTGTGGTTTTCTTGATCCAGGCTCTGGAAAGAACTTTACCTTGGGAGTATGAAGAGGGGTTACTGGGTGAGGCTTTGGCAGGTATCCAAATGAAATGCTCAGCCAGGTTGTTTTGTTTTCTGGATTTAGAAGCCAGAATGTGCAAAGTACAAAATGAGTTTGTGGTTGGCTCTTATACATTGGAGGTTTTTTCCTAAACTAAAGTATAGAAGGTGTGAATTTGTAATGTGAGGAGATAAAGATATTCTGTGTGTCTCATACATGGCTTTCTTGGTCTCTAGGTTCATTTTTCGGGAAGGAATGGTGGAAGGTATCTCTGTGTTAGATTAATAAGGCAATTTGCATTTGGGCCTCTAAATCAATGCAGGATGTGAACATGAAGTGATGATTTGCATTTACAGTTTAGTGTCTGATGTTCTGAATTTTCAAAGATTGCTCGAGTTAGATCTGAGAAATACAAAGTCACTTGTTAATTTCAGTGCAGGTAGCATCATAGAGATAAAAAGCTGTGTCCACTGAGATGCTGTGATGGGTTAGCCCTTGGCTGAGGGCCAAAACCACACACCTGCTCACACAATTCCTCCCCCATGCAAGGACAGGGGAGAGAATTAAAGGGGTAAAGGGAAAAAAGGACTTATGGGTTGAGATAAGGACAATTTATTAACTAAACTACAATAATATTGAAAATAATACTATATACAAATATGCAAATGAGTGATACACAGTGATACTGCCCCCCCACCTGATGACCAAGGCTTAGCCTGTTCCTGGCTAACGATCCCGGAGCAGGGAGAGTCCTGAAAAACCGCACTCGTGAAACGGAGATAACAGTCCGAGCATCCCAGACCAAGAGCTGACCAGCTGGGTGGGGGGGGAGGGGTCGGCCTTGGGAGAGTGACCACCTGGAGCGACATAATCTGGAGCCAAGAGAGATCCGGAAACCAAAGGGACCTGGAACAACAGGGATGATCTTCCGGAGGGTCCTCACCTATACACTGGGCATGACGTGTATGTTATGGAAAAGATTATTGGCCACTCTGGGTTTCAATCTTGAACCTAAGATCAAATCCTAGGCTAGTAACTGAGGCTGTGTTCCCTCCCAGCTCCTCCCCACCCCCCCCATCTGCAGGGAGCAGAGAAGCTGAAAGACCTTGAGTATATATCCTGGCAACAACTGTAAACATCACTTCTTATCAGCTTTCTTCTGAGCACAAATCCAAAACACAGCCTCTTGCTAGCTATTATGAAGAAAGTTAACTCTATCTCTGCTTAACCCAGGACAAATGTGTAGAAGAAAGTTCTTAAACCCTACATGACCTACAGCAAATTGCTGCTTTCTGATGAAAACTCATATGCTTGACATACCGCTTTCCTTTTCCCTGCATGAAGGAGGAGATGAATGGAAATAATTATTTGGGTTATTTGAGAAGCAGAGGAGAAAGTAAAAAATCAAAGAGATTAAGCAAACTTTATTAAAAGGGGAAACCAAAAATTGTTCATTATCCTGTTTAATTTGTAGTGAAAATGGTGTCTCATTTTATAACCATCTTGGAACAGTGCTACTCCTCTTCTTTTCTCTTTTTCAATTTTTCGTTGAGAGATGTGTTTGAGAAGCTTTTGACTTGGTATGTGTAGCGGGGGAAATTTGAAAAATAAACCTATGGATTTAGTCAGATATACTTCTGTCATTGAGTAGGCTTGATTATCAACTGACTTGCAAATGTGAATTACATAGGCTCATATACCAAGAACTTCAAAAGAAAAAAAAAATCAACTTTTTTTTACAGTTCAATTGTAACACTTCAGTTAAAGTAGTCTGAAGGCTAAGGTTTATAATAGAACCAGTGAGTTTATATTTAAATATACAATGTAAAGCTTTCTGCATAAAAACAAAAGACCATGATGTATTCCTATAGTTAATAGAATTGCCCTGTAAAAAAAATGAATGTCTAGCTAAACGTAAAATAAGATTAGCTGGTATAGACTGAATTATGAATTTTGCCTTTACGTTTTTTTATTTTCCAGTGCAGTCTAGTGTATGAAAGTGATATGCAAAGAACAACAAAATGTTGATGTTTTTTTTTCTTCCTGCAGCAGGAGAAAAGATACTGCTATTCCTCTTGTCTGAAGGATTTTTATTTTTTATTGGGGCTTGTAAACTTGCTGTATAGTAACTTCCCTGAAGTACTTTTAAGAAAATTGGAAGGAAATTTAGATATCTGGCTTAAGGGTATTTAAATAGGGAACATAACCTGATAATGCAACAGGACAGTATGTTGTTAATGACATAGGCCAGCAATGAAGAGTACACAAATGTAGTAGATTTGCCCTGAGGTAGCTGTACAGTACTAATCAGTGCAGGCTAATGAGGACTTTGGTACCTGTACCCTATACAGGAGAGCAAACGTGGGCTGTGTTGCAGTGGTCATTCCCCAGGCCCTCACCTAGGACTAGATGTTGGGGTGAAATGTGGGGTGTGATGGAGTGGCAGGGAACCCTGTGCACGAGCAAGAAGAGATGGTTCTTTTGCTGGTAGGACTTGTTCTGGTTGACTGGATCCTCACGGTGTCCCTTCTCTGCTTCTGATGGACAGCTGGAGATCAGGGCTGTAGGTTGCATTGAGAACATGACCTTCCCTGCAGCGTGTGCACAGCCGAAGGACTGGAAAGCCTAGCAGGTGGCTAACGACAACAGTTGAAGCAGATCTGCAAATGCTTCAGCTTTTAAGAACTGCAGGTTTTTGCTACATAAAATAACATAAATCTTGAAATTGTATACATAATAATCAAGTTGAATCCAAGTATGGGAGAAAATAAAGTTATTTAAGTTGTATTTGAGATGTTTGGTAGCAGTGTGATGGTAAAACTGCCGTGTTTTGACTGTTGGGCAACTCAGTACTTCATTATGAAGAACGGGATTTGCCTCTTGGTGTGTTCAATGATAAATATCTAGTAGTTGCCAAGTATTGAGTTAGAGATTTTATTTGTCTAGAGAAGGTGAATTTTTCAAGTACTGCCACTAAAAAACAACAGAGAATAAAGCTGAAAAATAATGTTGGGATATCATCTAGCCTTTTTTTGCCCCAGAAAGGGTATAAAAACCAGAGAGAATGTTTTTAAAGCTTTTGGGTGATGGAGAGAGGAGGAGGATAATGGAAGTTGATGATTCTGTGGAGGAAAAAAAAAAAAAAGCCATTCATATTTTCATATCCCCCTTTTTATTTTATTTTTTCTTTTTTTTTGTGTGTGTGTGTTACTGTCTGATTCAGAGCAGCTGCATTCCTCTGTTGTTTCTCTTCTTTCTTAAATTCTTCCTTCAGGGTTCTTCTCTTCTGGTCAGCACCTAAATATTCATCTAATTGACATGATCTGTTGCTTACTACTGCTTAACCTTACTTGGGTAAAGCCCATTATAGAGCGTAAACCTGTTGTTTTAAAGCTTTAGACAGATAATCTTTTCCAGATCCAGCTGTGCGCATTGAAGGCTGTATAACTTCTAGCTGTTTGTCACTGTCGTGAATGTCCAGCTTGTTACCAGCTCTGACCGTGGAGCAATTTGTGCGCGCTCCCAACTCTTCCAGTCAAAGCTGGCTGAGGTAGCAGTTTTGTTGTATGGCTTCCTCGTAAGCAAGTGCAAGTGATTTTTACTTGAAGTGAATTAGGAGGAACAAAAGCTTTTGGCATAGCTGCAGGCTTCTGACAGGTCTATTTTTGGCATAGCTGTTTGCAGAGTGGGAGTGTGTTTACTGCTTTCTCGGATGAAAATATTATTTTGTTATCTCTCTTGAGATTGAGGCCTGAATACAGAGTCTGAAACTGCATTTGTACTGATATGGAGAATTGAGAGTTTGGACACAGTGATAAGTTTTAAGTATTTGTATTACTTAAGTATTATTAAAAATGACTATATTGTATGTTGAATGATAAAAAAAAGGAGGAAAAAGCCATAAACACCACAGAAATAAGCAAATAAGGCACACCTGCGTAGCATGGATAAAGTGTTAAGCATGTCTTGTTTTTGTAAAGCTAAAATTTAAAAACGAGTAATAAAATTGCTATAAGCCTGTGTTATATAAGGAAAAAAAACCCTTTCAATTTAGTGTTTCTATTTACAGTTTAACTGAACTAAGAATCTTTTTTTTTTTTAGGGCATCCAAGATGGATCTCAAGTGTGCTCTGGAAGAATGTTCAATGGCACTGAACTTATTTCTAAACAACAAGTTCTCTGAAGCCCTGGAACTACTTCGACCATGGTGAGGTCCTATTATTTGCTGAAGTTACTGTACACAGATAGTGTAAACTGTGCTATTTGGTAGCTGAAGATTCATTTAAGGCCTCTGAAGATAGTTTTCCTTTATTCCCTTTTGTCCAGAAGCATTTTTCAGTATCTTCAGGTTTTAGCAGTGTGCTTGTTTCTCCTTAAGACCATCCCAAAACCTATTAATGAAGCGCTGAATTGTTCTGTTTGAGTTTATCATTCAGGCTACCTCATCTTGGGCAGAGGCAAAAAGCAGGGGAGCCAGACCTTATCCAATGTATCTTTGATCAGAGAATTTGTATGATGGACCTGCTTTTGACAAGACAACAAAGCTGGAACAAAAACTTCAGAGTACTCTTTTTGTTGCGTTTTGTATTACATTTGAGCCACAGTAGTGCTTGCCCTTAAAGCTCACCTTTTCTTCTTCTGCCTCTTCCCCTGTTGTCTCTGTTCCACTGAGAAAAAAAAAAAAAAAAACAACAACAACCCTGGCAATGTAGATGTGGGGAACTAAAGAATACGGAAGGGTTTGTAGGATAAACCTAGCTTACCTGTGACTGTGCGGGGAGGCAATCTGGGTGGCTCTTCTTTAGGACTGCGATCTGAATCCTGTTCACTGTTCTTCTCCTGTCTGTGTCTCAAAGATGTGTGTGATGTTGAGGGATGTGGCCGGGAGAGGGATCTGTGGCTTGTGTTAGTAGAGCAAGGCAAAGTTCTTGCTCTGCAGTTTTGTGATAGTAAGACTGGATTAAGAGTCACGAGGTGGTGTTGTTAGGCTGGTAGTATGGACAGGTGGAAGCACACTGCTAAATGAAATGTTGGGAAGATGACACAGCTATCAAATGTTTTCTTTTAGTGATAGGGGGAGCTAAAGTGCACCTTTTTCAAATTAGTTGTACTTACCCAAGCTCTCTTCTCTGAGCTTTGTGCACTATTTGTAATAGAGCAATGCTTTGACCCACCTGTGCTTGCGTATGGATAGTATTGCAAAATACTAAGTTATACATGCAAAGATTGTCCATGTATGTGTTACTAAATACACACACACATATTACCCAAGTGTTTTTTGTATGATTCATGTATATTTCATATATTTCATTTTGCATTTTAATACCAAAAACCTTGTTTCATGCGATAGTGTTTTTATGGACAGTGAAGTGTTTGGTTTAGTTGATGTTTGCTACGAATTAAGAAAATATCCTTAACTCTGTGGTTTTGATGCTTTGTGTTCCTGGCAGCTAATAGCCTCTCAGTTTATTATATAGCATATTCGGCTAATCTGCAAAGGAGGACCTAGCCTAGCAAGAAAACAAAAGATCACCTTTAAAAAAAAGAAAATGCCCAGTCATTTTACTGAAAAATAATACAGTAGCAGAGAGGCTGCCAGAGGAATATGAAGTCTTCATTTTCTTGAACCTTTTGAAAGTTGGTTAGACAAAATATGAGTTCTTCTGAGATTACTTTGGCAATAGTACTGCTGCAGCTGGTAGGTTTGACTACATGACCTCCAGTAGCCACTTTCTGACAACTTTTTTTTTTTTTTTAATTGTGTAATTCTGTTGTGAAAGCCAGTCTGGTTCAGTGCAGAATTTTATGCAGGACTGAGCGTGTGTGTACTGGCTTTTCTATGACAAATGCAGATTTTTGTATCTTTGGATTAAGTAGTAATGTTAAAAGGATGTCCTTGCTTCTTGTGTTAAGGGAATGCAGGCGAGCATTTATGTCAAAGCTTCATTAGCTAAATTAAATAGATACACCAACAGACTATAAATGGGATATAATAATTAATTGCAAATGTTTGTGTAACCCAGTTTGGCTATTTTCTGGAACTTGCTGCAACAGTATCCTGTGGAAGCAGGCAGGCAGTACCTAGTGAAAGATGATACTTACTAGGTTATGTTCGCATGTCCATTACTTTCCTGCTTTATTCTGTCTTTTCACAAATTAATGCAAATGTCTCAGTATTTAATTTTGTGTTGTAATTTAAACTTTTGCTTAAATGCACAAGATATGTATGTTTGCCCTAGGTCTAAAGATAGTATGTACCATGCCCTTGGGTACAGCACTATTTTAGTTATGCAAGCTGCTATGACCTTTGAACAGCAGGATATACAGATGGGAATTTCTACAATGAAGGAAGCTTTGCAAACCTGCCAAAGGTAAGCCCAAGGAATGAACATTTATGAGGTGCTTAATGCACTAAGTGTTCTTTGTAAGATATCCAAACTGTCTGTACGCTTTCAAAGCAGGCTATTGTCAGTATGATAGTGATCCGAATTTGGAAAGGTGGAGTAAGTCTCACTATCCAATTATTATTGTTAAGGATATGTTTCCTCGAATCACGGAAACAACAGGCTTGTTGAGTCTGGGCATATATGGCCTCTAAAGTTAGTTAAACTGCTAGTTGGCTATGGAGACCTGCACGCAAGCTGACACTACGTGACTGAACTGCCTCACATATTTCAACCTGTGACTTTTTGGTTTCCATAGTGATCAACAATTTAAAAGCTCCATATTTTGAATTTTCCCTTTTATAACAAAAATACTATTTTTTTAAAGTTGTTTTCAAAAGTGGACCCAATAGTCTAAAGGATTAAACATGTACTGAGGTTTCTTCTGAAACCAAAGCAATTTTTAAATTATTTTTACGAATGTGTGTAGCTTACCTTAAAATTAAAGGACTATTTTTCCCATCAGGAATGATCTGAACTTTTGCTTCTGGTCTTGTTTGGAACAACAGTGTAACATATTAGAATATAGAAGTTAGTTGTGAACTTTATTTTTTTTAATTAAAAAATCTTAGAAAATGGGTTGTCAAAGCCAAAGTGCTTAACAAGCCTCTGACAAAACCAGAAATGATTGCTTTATTCTACTGTACTGATTCTTCATCATACTATTTACACCATAATTTATCATGAATGGTCTCCAAATAGATTGCCTCCAAATGTTGTTAGTTTAGACACTTAGCGTCACCTTAGCAATACTCCTTAGCAATGACAAACAAAAGACAAGGAAATGGGACAAAATTACCAGATGCTACCTGAAGAAAATAAAGGGTCAGCAGTTTCTGCCTCTTTTCCAGGTGTGCTGTTGATTCACACTTTTGTCTGAACTATGTTTATTATGTCTGAAAATTAGGTGCCTCTTTGTACTTCAGGTAGTTTCAATAAGAGCCTCCATCTCTGCAGGATACAAACTTTCATACATAAGGGCTCTGGTCTAGTCAGTCACAAAACTCATAAAAATGCAAGATAAAGGCAATCAAACACTCAAACTGCCAGAACTCCATGTACCTTAGTTGACCTTTTTTTTTAATATGAATTATGTTAACCTGTAATGTCATAATCTTGTGAGGATCCTGCACTTTTCAGTGTGCAGAATAGTGTAAACAAGCAATAAGCTAGTACTCCGTACTTATAATTAGTGACTTCTTGGCTTACAAAGTACATTCCTTTTCTGAATGTAGAATTGTTTCTTTAGCTTCTTAGAATCATTGAATGGTTTGGGTTGGAAGGGACTTTAGAGATCATCTAGTTACGTCCCCCCTGCCATGGGCAGGGACACCTCCCGCTAGACCAGGTTGCTCAAAGCCTCATCCAGCCTGGCCTTGAACACCCCCAGGGATGGGGCATCCACAACTTCCCTGGGCAACCTGTTCCTGTGCCTCACCACCCTCACAGTGAAAAATTTCTTCCTAATATCTGGTCTAAACTGGCCCTCTTCCAGTTTAAAACTATTAGCCCTCGTTCGTTATAAAGCTGAGTTTGTAAATAGTAACAAATTCATTTTTTGGAATGCTGTACTAAAATAAACTGGTAATTTATAACATGGACAGTTGACATCTGTTGAAAGGAAAATATGTGACTGTTCTGGCATCATGTCTGGCATAAACTGCCATAAAATACTGTAATATTGATGTTTTCATTTATGTTGAAAACAGAGCTCCTTTTGATTTTTCATTCTGAGTGCAAGTTTAAGAAATGGGAAAAAGTAATTAATAAAACTTTAAAGTCCAGTTCAAGTGGCTTGCTCAGCATTAGAGAGACCTCTGCAGCTAGTGGGTGGAAGTGGGGTGGAAGCTACCGTACACTTAAAGTACATTAAATGCATGCTTGGGACATCAGTCAAGGTTGGATAGGCTTCTAAGCCCAGCTGCATACCAGTGGCCATGATTATACTACTCAAAGAGCTGCAGCTATTGGCAAATCATCACTTCAGTAAGAATGTCTATAAATTGTGGTTGGAAATAGTTAAGAATTACAAATAAATAAGTTCAAGTTTGTGTTGTGATGTTGCTCATGCTCTGTGGGTTTCTTCCACATACAACTGATCTAGATTCAGGAAAAGGAGCACAGTGGTGGAATCCTTGTCCAATCTAGTTTCTAAACAGCCAGTGGATCAGTTGAGTGAAGGTAAGTGGTTTATAACACAATTAAAATAACAAAGTTAAAAAAATCTCAAAAACTCCCTGCCAACATGTACAATACGCTTAACTCTGTAACTTGACTAGTGTGTTACAGTAAAATACAAAAAACCCCAAACAAACCACATGTATGGTGGGGTTTTTAAAATTTGAACACAAAGCTTCTCAAAATTAGGGATTCAACCTAATGTTTTGTGGCTCCAAGCATGTGTGAATTCAGAAAGGAATGCCTTTCACAACACATTATAGGATTGAAGAGAGATTTCTTTTTTTTTTTTTTTTTTTTTTTTTTTTTTACAGTGAAACACATGCCAAATTTCTCACCACAATATTAGTTTTGAGAAAGATTTTTTTTTTTTTTTTTTTTTTTTTTTTTTTTTTTTTTTTTAATTCAAGACAGCTTCCAAAAAGTTTAGGAATCATTGATGGTGTGAAATAAGTCCTTATCATTAGTTGCATTGGAATCTGAACATATTAACAAGTTTTGTGCTTGTCTGTTTTGCCTTAAGGTGTTTTGGGAAATGGTATCAGTACATTGTTCATGGCTGCGAAAATGCTGATCTCCTATTTCTGATTCGGGCAGAGTCAAGTATGCATTTTTTTCTAACCTGACACGAAAGAATCCTCTTTAATACTGGACACATCAAACTCACCACGTCTGCACTATACATACAGCAGCCTTGTGCATGTGGCTGGCCTTGCAGCATGGGTGCAGAGTAACTTGTGTTATGTGTGTTAAGTCAAATGTACTTTAGTGCTGCATGAGGACAGGAAGTCCACCCAGGGCTTTCTGTCTATGGAGCATGACTTGGTGAAAACCTGTTCATAATGTCTTATTGGACTTGGGAAAAGCCTGAGCCACAGTGAGTGTTACCGTTCATCTGTAAAAGTTTTTTCTAAGATGTGGAAGGAGGGTTGAAAGAACTAGTTGCTGTACGCTGATATTTAAACTTAGGATAAATGGAAAGTACAGGAGATCGTCCATCAGAATGACAAGTAGCTTTTGCCCTAGGCTGAAGTCAGCTCTGGCAAGATCAAAGCTTTTGTCTGAGAAGTGAAACAGAAGACTTCTATTGCAATTTGTGTGTTACAGCTATTATTCAGCAGTTATCAAAACAGGAACAGCAGAATCTTGCTTTTTAATTTTTTTTTTCTTTTTTTTTCTTTTCTTTTCTTGGAAGCATTTTATTTGTTCCATTGACCCCAGGAAAAGAATATTGACAGTAACTTTGCTGACAGTAAATAACTTTCTTTCTTACATAGAGGAAATGCACGCTGAAATCTGCTATGCTGAATGCTTACTGCAGAAAGCAGCTCTCACCTTCGTACAGGTAAATAGTTTATTTTGTATATCTGTGTAGCAGTTTAGTGGAAAGATATTAGTACTTGTAAAACATTGTTCCCACAATACATATGGTATTTAGAAACTAAGCTTTTTCCTAGTGAATGAGTGTTATTTCATGACAGTGATTCAAATTATGGTATGTGTTGTGCCACCCAGCAAAATCCTTTGTTTTTATGAATAACCAAAGATGTTATTGATATCAAAGAGCCAAAAACCTGAGGTATATTGCAGTCTTATACAGAAAGTATGTTTAAATGACTTGCATTGCATCTGACAGTGTCCAGCACTTGTTTAAAAAGAGGTTAAAGTACAAAGAAATGTCTAGTTGGAAAGCGCAAGTCTTTTTTTTGCACAGAAAGGATACAATGTTTACCAGCTAGCAAAATTTCAACTGGTACAAACTTGTCTCCAATGTATTATCACTCTCCATGCTCTTTTGACATGGAGTCAGGAACAATGTAGTAATGAATGATTATAAAATGAGCATGCCTTAGCATTGCTGAGGTAATCATTCAGCTCACAGGAAGCTCTACTGTTTAATACTGTCCAGTGCTTCTTGTTTAGCTTGTGGTTCAGGGACATCATGCTAAAGTGTTTAAAAATTCTATTTGAAATTTGGTTCAAATAACAGGAATTGTTAGTCATACTTTTTTTTACGTATGCGAGTGTTTTACAAATGTTTAATGAATGTATTTTAGATAATCCCTTCAGATATAAATTATGAGGAAGAAGCTAGGCACAGAGATATTAAGATCAGGTGGACCTAAAAAGTTAACTTGGCAAAGCCTTATAAACCACTTAATAGAGTGCTTTGGCCAGAAGTGTCAGGAAATATTATTAATGGATTGCCAGTCTTTCCTGTAACTGACTTGCTCCTTTACTAACCAAATGGAAGCAACCTTCTTTTTTGTTTTGCGGGTGGGGTTTTTTAAGCATGAAGAGAATTTTTAAACAGTTTTTGAAGGAGGTGAGTTTAGGACTGTATTAAATTAAAAAAAGCGTAGCAGGATACTTTTCTCTAAAGCAGCACCTTGCTATCTATCATGTCAGAGATCCATTGCTGTTGACTGTAATACCTTGTTCTGATAGTTGCTGTCATGCCCTATGTTTTTGACCTTTCACTAACCTTGATTCATCTGAGGATGATAGTGGTAATGAAAATGTATCCATTCAGAAGAGGTAGCAATACATAGAGGTAGTACATACTTGTACTAAAACATGGGTTTGAGTGTTCAGTCTTGCAGACAAAACAATTGAGGTCTTTTGAAATGTTGACCATTTTATGGAAGCCGGAATTTCCTTTGTTTGATGATTCTGAGGCTTTTTTTTTTTTTCCACGTCATATATGCTGCCCCTGGATATTTAAATGTGCATTTCCAAAATGCCTGCACAGGTTCCCCTTCTATGTGAATTCTAAGAGAAAAAATTCTGTCCTGTTGAACTGCTAACAGTCTTGCTTTTGCTTTTCAGGAATTTATGATGGCTAGTACATTGTGGCTTTACTTTGATTTCTCTAGAAGTTAATAAACGCGTGTTGGGTAGTACAAATGGTTACAGTTGATCAGCAATGGAAATTCATTTGTTCAGGGATTCTTTGGTTTGCCTTCTGCTGGGTCCTGGGCTTGCTTGTGAATCAGCATTTCAAAACTTCCTAAAAAGTTCCTACAGCACCATCTAGTGGAGAGCTTTTTTGTTTCATTTATATGCATTGGAAATTCTGTTGAAAGCAGCTCTTTGACTTTTTTTCATCCCCCTCTTAAGTTTTCAAATTTGTAACATGCACCAGAGAAATATTTCATCAACAACTTAAAGCAAGTGCTAACTTCAGTCTTAGAGATGAGTCTAATAACTGAAAAACATTATTAATATTTCCAGTGACTAAGTTATAAATAAATTTAAGTGTATGTGGAAGATCTATGTATGTGTTACATGTAGTAGCTGAATGCACATTTTTGTACAATTAAACTTTTTCTTCCAGGATGAAAATATGATCAACTTTATCAAAGGTGGCCTCAAAATTAGGACAAGTTACCAAATATACAAGTAAGCCATTAGAAAACACTTAGGTTAAATGCTCATACAAGCAGGTGCAGTTGCATTAATGCCTCCAAAATAATAAAAAAAAGATATAGCAATCATAATTATTATACTTCATATGATTTCTAAATCGTGTTTCCCCTTCCCTCCTTTGTTTTTTGTGCATCAAAAGAGAATGTCATCAGGTGCTACAGATGACTCAGGGGAACAAGAGCAAAAATGAAACTTATTATCAGTTTGAAGGAGGAGTAAAACTTGGAATCGGAGCATTCAACTTGGTATGACTTCTTCAGACTACAAGAAAGGCCATTGGGATAATTCTGTAGGATTCTTTCTTTGCACTCACAGTACTGTAATCCTGTTTTAAAAATTACGCATTTGTAAAATGGAGATCCAGGCTTTGAAGGTTTTATGCAATATGAGAACAGCAGTGGCTTTTTGCATGCATGCTTTCTAGGATCTTTCTACTAATTTCTTATTAATCATGTTTAATTCTCTTGGACTATTTGTGCATGCATTTCTGAAAAGGAAAAGCAGCTATAGCTACCTGTGTGTAGGAGGAATTTTTAAGATGCTTATCTTGTTGGTTACAGGATACCTGGAGTGACTGCTTTTATTCTAAGACCCCCATGTATGCCATTCTTTTGCTTCAGTGGCATACTGTTGATTGGCAAAGATAATTACAAATTCAGAAGAACAAGCAGTAGTTTACTGAGTTTGTGCAAAAGAAAACTGAGTACATGCACAAGTGTTTTCCTTTACAATTTACTACAGTTCTCTTTTCACATCTGTTGTTGCAATGGTGAGAGTTGATTTCTGCTGGTATGTTAATTTCTGTGTCATTCCAGACTGGAGCTGGCCAGTTCTGAGTATGGTGAGAACTCAAGTCTATTTGCATCTGTCAGTCTTTAAAAACCAAGGAACTGGTGGATGTCTGTGTTCACAAGTGCTCTGACCTTTCCTATTTGCAGGAACCTTAACAGAAAGTCTCTGCTGGGCAGAATGTATTAGGGTGAATGGAACTTTTGAACACTGGCCTTCCAATAGACCTTCTTGTAATGCGGCTTGAAAAGGTCGTTGCGATCTTTATAACTGTTATGTTGTGTAGGGTGTGGAGGATGCAGTTACAACGGGAACAAAAAGTCGATGTAATAGAGGGCTAACAGATGATAACAATTCCTAGTATTTCGAAAACAAGTATGCTTGCTGGTCTGCTAATTCAGTACTCCCACAGTAGGAACGAGTAGAACTTTTGTGATAACATTGTGTCATTTGGTTGGGAGTAAAAGAAGTTGACAATTGTAGATTGTAAGGACTATCAAGATAGATAATGTTTTCATTCCAAGTGATGCACAATTTTCAAACAGTTCTGATCAGCTGAAAACAGAAAAATCTGCCATTATCTGAAGAAGCACAGCTGTACTCTGTCATGTTTTTTCCATGCCGGATGATTGTCAAGAGTCCAAGTTTCTCTGAAGCAGCAGACTGATTGTATATTGTTGATCATGCATGTCTATTTTCGAGTTCTTTTGTGGTTTACTTTTTCACTAATGTGTAATGGCATTTAACATAGTAGCTGGCATTTTTGGCTCAAGTTTATAGTGGTTTCAATTTTTTTTTAAATGTATGTAAGTTTTTATTTATCTTATTTTTGATTGAAATGTATTTCAGATGCTGTCACTTTTACCAGGAAGGATCCTCCGACTTTTAGAATTTATTGGATTTTCTGGCAATAGGGTATTGGATCTAATATTTGTTTTTTCAAATTAGTATTTTCATAAATAAAGACTGGATGAATTTAAAATAATATATTTCACACTATAAGTATAACAATCTTCTTTGTTTATTAGTATTTTAGCATTGTTATAAAGATGAGAAGTGGGCTAGATGATGCAGGTGTAAAAGCACATATGGTGATACCCTGATCTTGAACAACTGTGGGAAATGACCCATCTGCTTCAGAGGGGGTTTTCACATGGCAATTTCCTTTAATTTTGCTGATCCTTAAGGAAGGGATATCGGCTTTCTTTTCTAGACTATGCAGTCAGAAATTAATGTTCCTCATACCAGTAACTGAGAGGAGAGACACAGTTCTGCATTTTTCCATGCGTAATCCCAGCCCATTTCTTTGGGAGAAGGAATTTCTGAATATCATGTGTCACTGTGGAATCTCAGTGCATCTTTTTCTCATGGTTGAGGAAAGTAAATTTTTTGGTTTTGAAAATCTAGCCCTTTTTTATAAATATCTTAACAGCCCTTTAAAACACTTTTTGCTACCCATAAGAAATAAAAAAAAAAAACAAAAAACAAACCAAACCTAAAACAAACCAAAGAAAGCAACCCACGGAATTATACATAACTAGACTTCAAGTTATTAATTGAAGAGTCACCATATGGTCTTATTCCTGTTAGTTTGTCCACAAATATGGTTCTGCTTATGTAAAATTAGACTTCAGTATAGAGACCTGTTCATTCTGTTTCTTCCTATGAAAGACCTGGTTCATGCCGAAGCTCTTCCATAAGACACATTTTTGCCCTGACTGAAAAGGCAGTAAAAGCTGAAAGGAAAAGAACAAACAATTTTGGAGTATCTCCACACTTGTTTGCATGGTGCTTGAATTCTCTACCTCATCAAGTTGCTATGCAATAAAACTCTTGTTGAGTTGATATTTGTTTTGAAGCAAACCTGTTAAAATCTGATACATTTCTGCAGAGCCACAGCTTGTCTCAACAATCCCTCAAGCAGTCAAGCTGTCATGTAATGGGCATACACTGGAAAGGACGGGAAGAAGTTTCATGTGTTCAGAGCTGAAAAACTGTCCGTGAATCTGGATTTCTTTTCTCAGTGCAGACAAATTCCATTGTAGCTTCTGGAAATGGTGTCTAGAAGTTGGTGTGTCAGCAGAGCCAATATTGTGATCGGACCCTCAAAAGAGTGGCTGACTTGATGGAAGAGAATTGAGGATAACCAGGGATTTCTGTGAAGGAAGACTCTTGGTGACAAGTAGCACTGGGGCAGTTGAGAGAGGTTCTCACTGAACTTGATTTAAGGATGTTGTTCCGAAAGGCTGATAGCCAGAAAATAGTGGGGAAGGGATATAGACCTGTGTGTCTGCATGGTCTGTGTGGTGTTCCCATTTCACCAGAGCACTGAAATACATGGGTAATTTTCTTCAGCGTTACCTTAGTCTCCTTGCTGAGTGCTGTCAGCTGTGGCAGAACTGTTTTGGTTGAAGGTTGTGTTGGATCTGAGATAACAAAGTGCTGAATTAAGAAATACTTATGTCTGAAAGGAAAACTGGATTTGGGGGAGCCAGAAACTATTGATAGTAACTCTGTATACTGATAGTTAATTCTGCATGTGTTTGTGATGTTTCTTAGGAGTTGGGCCTCTGTCAACTACGGGAAGGCGCATCTGGCAGCAGTTTGAGGGCCATTCTGTGTACTTTCACCCTGTTGGTTTATCATACTTACGTCTCCTTAATCCTTGGTGAGACCCATTGTGTAGCTGTTCAGTCATGCTACACATTATGATAGATACTGTGATTTTTTTGAACTGAATTTCAAAACTGTGGCCAATTAGCTTTGTAGCAGGAGATGGCTGTATACTTAATTATGATCTGAAGCTCATATCTCTGACTGACAAAGCTTATGTCTGCAGAAACAGTGGGGGTAGATACCATTATACCAACATCTTGCTCCTTTTGCAGGGCTGTCTCAACAAGCAACAGCAAAATATCACAAAACATGTTTAAGTTCAGACAAGTCCTTGCCTGTAAATTAACATCAGAGATTGTGAAAACTCTCCAGAAGGAAGTGTGTACTCCCAAACAATTTACTTGGAAGTTCAAACATGTCTGGAATTAATTGCTTTTGCTACGTTGGGCTAAAAGTCAACATTAATTCTGTATGCATCTTTGATATCGATTTTCACATTCTTTAGTTCGGAAGTATTTTAGTCCTTGTACCTCAGGCTCATCAGGAAATTAAGGAGAACTTCATTTATTTCAGTATCACCTGTACTTCATTAGTGAGCTCAAAATTAGGGAAGGAGGCAGCTGAGGAATGTTTTCCTAACTTGCTGAAGCAATTAAAGGGTTTTAAAAATGTAACTATTGTCTATAATGGATCAGTTTAAAGAATATTCTGTTTCTACTGACAGACATTTACTATCTTAAAAGCACTTAGTACTTTCAGGACAATAATTTATTTCTACAGAAACACAATATGATGAAATAATTCTGCTTTTACCTTAAAGCAGTCGTCCGTTAATTGATTTAAGCCATAATATGATTTGGAAACCAAAATCTTAATCTAATGAAACTTATTTTTTTTAAGTACATTGAGGTTGTTTTGTTACGTTTTCTAGGTACAGGGGAAGGCAATCTTCAAGAAGCAGACAGCCTACTCGAACCCTACCTCCAGAAATTTCCAAATGTGTGTATACTCAATAAGTTTTATAACAGCAATGTTCTTCCCTAAGCTCAAAATAGTAACTGGGTATTTTTGTCATCTCCTTTCAAGGGTTCCATTATTCTGTTTTATGCTGCCAGAATAGATATCCTGAAAGGAAATTTTGAAAAGGTAAATACTTTTTTTTTTTTGTTAAGGTTTTGTTCAGTGTTCAATTTGGGGAAAGAATATCTAATTCATCTAAATAACTTACTTTAGTTGGACTGAAAATTATACTCTTATCCCTGTTCATGTTCAGTGTCAATATTGATTCAAGCTCTCTCTCTCTCTTTAATGAGTCTGAAACAGAAGTTTATCTCATTTTACTAGCCAGGTGTTCTCCACTTGGGTGCTAGGAAAGAATTTGCTCTGTAATTAGACATGTCTTTCATGTGGAGCTGTAATTGAGCCAATTTTCATCATTCTAACTTAACTAAACCATAGGCGCAGTTGAGGTTCCAAGAATGCATAGCAGCCCAGCAAGAGTGGAAACAGATTCATCATCTCTGTTACTGGGAACTGATGTGGTGCTACACCTTCCAGCAGAACTGGCTTCAAGCATATCGGTATGCAGACCTGCTCAGCAAAGAGAGCAGGTGGTCTAAGGTAAATGGGCAGGTGGACATTGTTGTTATATACCAGTAGCCTCTCCACAGTTACATTTGCATTTCAATTAGTGTAATAAGTGGAATTTTTGCTTTCTTCTGAAACCCATAAGCAAAGGCACAATGGCACCAAAATGGTAAGTGTAACTGGGTGGATAAGGAGGAATTTTTATTTCACGTTGTGAATCACCAGAGCCGTAACTGCCAATGCTTCACCTTCTCTAAAAACAGAGGTACTTAGAGTTGCGAGAAAGAAGACTGAGAGGAAGACTGTTAGCTTGCATCTCAAGTCAGGTTTTAACACTCACTAATAAAACTTGCCTGAAGAAACTGTGTTTGTTAGTTAATTATAAACAGATGAGAGCAGGCCTACTCAGCAGATGCTTTGCAACCTGTAATGAGTAGGTTGCTGGAGACAGGGTCTCATGAGAAAGGTTGGCGTATCTACCTTTTCCTTGTAAAAATGTTTCCCAAAGTATAAAGCAAGTACAATGTTGCAAATAGTTTTTGTTACATCATTTTTGTCTGTTCCTTTCCAGATTACTGTTTTATTATACTTTGTGGAAAAGGGGATACATTAAATTCTTGACAAAAGAGGAGGAGAATAGTATATTCAACATGAACTGCAAATGTCTTGAACAGTATTATGGATGTTTCCTTTTTTTCTCTGCAAAGTCCAGTTATTGAACTTTCCTTGAATCAGTAGTTGGATACGCATGTCTGTAGATGTAACAGATCACATAATGACATTAATGGACTTTAGAATAGTTATGTCATTTAATCTCATCTCTTTATCAGTGATTTGCAATAAATTGTCTTGTTCTTTGCGGGAGACATTTTTAGCATTCTAACTTATTTAGAATATTAGTAAATATGTTGAAAATAAAATTGTAGCATAAATTATGTAACAAAGGAAATGCTGAACCTCTGTAGTTCCACCCAGCTGAGAATTACAGGAGACACTTCGCTGCAGCAAGTGGGGTGTGAGATTTGAGTCTTTAGTGTATTAACTGAACACAGCAAATTAGATGTGGTAATATGTTGCTATTTCTTTTTGAAATAGGCAATATATGTATTCCAGAAGGCAGCAATTCTATGTATGCTTCCAGAGGATGATTTGAAAAGGACTGGTGAGGACATTGTATCTTTATTCAGGTAAACATTTATAAAGCAACTAGATGTGCAGTCTTTTTCCCCCATATAAAAGTTTTTGACTTGAGTATCTTTGTCTTGCGTGACTTACTTCCTACTTATAACCATCAACTTCTCGGTTTTTCTCTTTGCTTTTAGCATCAGATTATTTAAAATGCTGCTTTTATCAGCAAACATACATCCAGCAACTGTGGTCTAAGTGGTGTGAAACAATTAAACATGTTGTACTTCAGAGGAGAACAGCAAATATTGCGGATTATAATAGGGTGAAATGAAAATTACATAAAGCAACTTCTATTTTCCATTTTCTCTACTTGTAGACAGGTGGATGGTCTAAAACAGAGAATTGCAGGAAAATCTGTCCCAACTGAGAAGTTTGCAGTAAGGAAAGCTCGACGCTATGGAAATGCACAACCAGTGAAGCTGATATTACCTGCCTTGGTATTTATGCTTGCTTTCCTTTTGTCCTTTTCAAATAGAAAAGAAATAAGTATAATTCATCATACAGTGAAAGAATAATATTATCAGGTAGTATTTGTCTGCATTTAAAAATTATTTTGTAAAAGATTTATTGAATTCATGCAGTGGGATTTTTGTGAAATGTACTAGAGGCTGGATCATGCTATGAACTACTAACAGTCCAAAACCAGAGACAGATTTTTCATGTGAAAGTTCAGACAAACACGGAATGATTTTTGTTGCCACATGAGGCTCAAAGTCACCTTTCTGCTAGAAACCTGCATGGGTTTCTAGAATATGTGTTTGTGTTCTTTACTTTGGCAGGATTTCAGTCCTTGTCCTCCACACTCATTAGGGGGCTAAAGAGTGCTTCAGCACTTTCTGTTCTTCTGGTGAAAATGAAGAGTGGTCAGGCTTTTTTCCTTATATTGAGTTTGAGTAAAACATGCAGAAGTTAATGGTGCCTTACTAATGCTATTCTAATTTCCCATGCTTTTAACTTCAGAAGGCATTAGTAGTGCTTAGTGTCTTTTTCTGTGCAAGCAATAATAGTTCGCATATGTGTATGCTAAAATTTTTGTATGTGGAAAATATAGCAACCACTGAAGATGAAAACCATAATTTGAGAAGGAATTCCTTATGTTAAAGCTTATTGATATAGAAAGAGGAGCCCAAAGAAAATTAATCTGTCAGTTTTAAAATTTATTGTATACTCAATTATCTATAAAGACCTAAGTAATAAAGTTGTCCTGGGCTTGTATAGCACAGTGCTCTTTGCTAGTGAATATGTATCTTTGGTCTTGCTGTCAAATCCAGTATCTTTTAACTCAGCGAATTTTTCTGTCATGGGTTAAGCAAAAATAAACGTAGTGTATGGTATTTTTGCAGTAAGCATAAATTAGATACACCTATAGAAATGAAATGAATCTAGCATAACTGGTTGATAGTGTCAGTAACACTGTTTCAGACTTTGTTAGAACAAGGTTCTTTTTCCCTCTGGAAACCCACATAGTTAAAGCACAAATATAAGCAGAAACATTTCGACAATGTATTGTATCAGCTTCAGAATTGACATCAGGCTTCATATCTCAGGGGTGTAAAAATTCATATGTGGTAGAACAAATGATACTCTTGTGTTTGAGTAACACAAGACTGAGTAAAGATTTCAGCAAAGTTTCATATGGGTTAGCATTATCTCTATACCTGTGTTCTCTCATTCTCTTTATGTGTTACAATGTTGTGGTTTTGTGTGGTGGGTTTGTCTGGTAGCAGGGAAGGGGCCACAGCAATGGCTCCTGTCAGTAGCTGCTAAAGGTTTCCCTGGACTCCAGCTCTGCTGGCAGCAAGGGAGGGGCTGCAGTGGTGGCTCCTGTAAGTGACTGCTAAGGGTTCACCCCTACCCCTGGCTCCAAGGGTTTAGTAACCGGGAGGGGGAGTGGGGGAAGGAGTACCACCGATCTAGCCCCCGTGAGAAACAACTGGAAGTTTCCCCAGCTTCAGGCTGGACCCACCCCAGGCCAGGGCTGAGCCAATCGGTGCCTCTGTGAATGACATATTGAAGAGGGGGCACGGAACAACGGGGGTTGGTGTGGCCCTGGGCAGGGACCGGCTCAGGCGGACAAGCCTGGCTGCCCAGCCGCCTGCTCAGCTTCTGCAAACTGACCTGCTGTAGCCCAAGCCTCCGCCATGGCTCGCCCAAGAGTCAGTTTCCTCGGGAGCCCGTGAAGACCTGTGCTGGAGAGAGCAGTGAGATTTTGAGAGGAAGGACCACACGACACTCCAGTCAGAGAAGGGAAGCAAGAAGGAGAGAAACGCCCCTGGAATTTCCCCTGCAGCGTGGTGAAGATTCACGGTGACGCACGGTTTGTCCCTTGGTGCAGCCCATGAGAAGATGCAGCCGTGGAGGACCCCATGCAGGAATTATGGAGAAGCCCACGCTGGAGCCAGGCAGTTGTTGGGGCACTGTGGCTCCATGTGGAAAAGGACTCACACTGGAGCACTTTTTAAGAAGGACTCTCCCGTGAGAAGGGACCCCATGTTGCAGCCGGGAAAGACTGTGAGGAGCCCTCCCCTGAGGAGGAAGGAGCGGCAAACTGACTGCACCACCCACTCCCTGTCCCCCTGCACCGCCAGGAGGAGAAGGTCCAGAATAAAGCCTTTGGGCTTTGGGAAAGAAGGGAAGGGTGGAGGAGAAGTGCCTTTTTAAGATGTGGTTTCTCTTTCTCAGTATCTTGCTTCTTGTTGTAAATGGTTAATAAATGTAATTGGTCTTTTTTGTTCTTCACAAGTCATGTGGGTTTCTTGCCCGTGACCCTAAGTGGTAAGTGAAACCCTCCCTGTCCCTGCCTCAGCCCACCAGGTGTTTAACAAAGGACTATCCCTGTGGCCTTTCTAAACCATGACATACAATGGGATAATATTTAATGCATTGAAACAAGCATATTGCCTACAGTTGTACAGAGGCATCTGGAAGCTTTGTGCCAGGATGTGCCTAGATTTTTTTTTTTTAAATAAGATTTTGAAGAAATTGTATTGGAAGCCTGTGTTGGATGTGTGTACTAGAACCACATTTTTATCTAGAAAGTTTTATCTACTTCCACTGTTGCTCCATATGGAAGGGAACAGCCTATAGACTGTAGCATAACACAAATTTATCTGGAATCCTGTAGGAAGCAACTACTTTAAGTTGCTCTAGTTTGTATGGTGGAGGCTCCAAGTTGAACCTAAAATACCCGGTTTTGCTGATGTGTTACATGGGTGATGGTAAATTATCATGGGTAAAATCTGTTCCATTTAGTTTTTAACAATCTACAAAAATACATTATAGAATACGTTAAAAAGGTGTCAAAACATTAAAAACTTAGAAACCAAGGTTAACTTTGCCCACACACATTGAATGTCATTTTTGATATTTTTAGATACTCTTATGCGACTTTATTATTAAGGCAAATGTGATTGTCTTTGTAAACTTGCATGTAACTGACAGAATGTCCAGTACTCTTTGTGGGTGGTTATTTGAAATTGTGCAGATACTTTTATTTGTGGGCTTCTCAACCTTTTGCTTTGAAACCTTTCATGTTGTTTAAAGCAAGTTTTTGTAAGCAGTATTTTTATGTGCTCAAAATGTTCCATAGCAGCCTTCCAAGGGACACTCTTTAGTTAGATATTTATGCAATTCCTTGAGTTTGTCTTGTTTATTTTCTTTGTCAGGAAATGATGTATGTCTGGAATGGCTTTGCAATTGTGGGCAAAAGAGCAGACCTCACTGAAAACTTACTTGTAACAATTGAAAAAGAAGAAGCTGCTTTAGAAAATGAAACGGGTAAGTGATCAGTTAAGCTGGTAGGAAATGCTAGCATTTCCCTTTGCTTCTGTCTACTGATGTTCTGTGAGGTAATTGTTGACACAGGCAATGTACTATTAAATCTGAGTGTGGAAATTTTGAAGCCACATGGAAGTTAGCGGTGGTTCTTCAGTATGCCCTTTATCTGGCTTGCTTAATGCTGCAGGAGTATACAGAGCACTCAAGGATACGAGGTGATTAGTTAAAGAACTTAAATGAATTCTACTGAGACATTCCAGTCTCTGAGAGTGTTCTTAGAGCTTAATCCGCTAGTTTCTTCAATGACTGAAAAATACTTTTTCTAAACCAATTTGCACCACACTTTAACTTTACTACAGAGGGCACATAGTGAGCAGAATATGGCTATGTATAAAGGAAATAGTGAAGTGCTATGCATGAGTCATAAGTTTTCCTGGCAAATAAAACGTTTGCTAGATGTAAATAAAACATATTTTCAACAAATAAACTTTGACTGTGGATTTAGATCTTGATGTATTTGAAGCTTAGATGTCCGGGATAATGTTTAGAGAATCAGTCTGTAACTTATTCTTAAAGGAACTTCTGTTCCATTATTACAACAGGTTTACTGCAGAAGTACCTGGCTTTATCAGATTTTATGAGGAGGCTGTTGTTATCTGTCATGTGGACTTCTTGGTAGACCTCTCTTTTGAGTTATTGTAGAATGAATAAATATCTTTTCACATATGAAACTTTTTTTAGTGGTAATTCACTAAAATAATTTATATTTAACCCAGATTTTAATAATACTTATCAATAATTTAGTTAAAATTAGTTTTGCCACATTATTAAAACATTAATTATTAAATGTAAAAGTACATCTAATTATGATTTACATGCAAACTGAGGTGATGCATCAGAAGTCATACAAAGACATCCAAGAAATGCATAGTGGTAAAATCTGGATGGTATAATAAGCTAAATAGGAGTAACTCACAAGGCCAAGACTGAATTGGGTCCCTTAATTTTTTGTATACTATTCTTCCTACTTCTACAGAATCAGTAGTGTGCCTTGTAAATCTTAAGTGTTTCTCGTTTTTTTGTTGTCTTACTAAAACCAAAATGGAGCAGTGTATAAGACATCTGCAAATAATGTTCTCATGAGTTCTGCATGTAGTGTTCTGTCAGAAGCTGTTGGGAATCTGGTGCTGTATCATGCAGAGGTTTGTGCTAATCAGTTCTAAAAGTGAAGTAAGTTTCCTGTCAACTTCCTTGTGCATAGGTGCAAAAGGTACCAAAAGAAAAGGAACAGAGATAAAACCAGTATGTTTTTCTTATGGAAATATGTGTTTTACAAATAGGACGTAATCTGGAAGCACATTTGGTTTTTATGCTTTCTGTATCTTTTTTAGTAATAACTGCAATCAAATGTAATTTTATTCTGGCGTTTGCATCTGTGAGCCTGATTTGCTTTTAAAGATATGGGCTCAGACAAGATAAAGACTCTGATTACCAGAATTGCTGCTGAATAGAGGCCCAAAGAAAGTGATTAAGGCTATTAGCAGAGTGTGGGAAGGATCCACTATTATTTTAAGAGACAGCTGTCAGTACTAGGCAGCTTTAAAGGACTGCTAAGGTGCTGTAGAAAAGTGTGTTAATTATACACAAAGATCATTTAGGGATTGAGACTTCTTAGAGCTGTTGATACTTCATTCTCTTCACATCAACAGGCACAGCAAGGAATCTATCAAGGATTGAAAGTGGTTTTGTGTTGTATAGAGCTGAAAATAGAGATGGTAGAAGGAACAGATGAAAGGCATTGAGAATGATTTTTTTTTCAGGATTTCTGGAAATCTTATTTTTCCACAGTTGTGTCATCTCCAAGATATAAAAAAGGAATTTGTAACTTCAAGCAAAATGAATTTCTGTGCTTATCTTGCATGTTTTGTAACCCTGGTATTGTTATTTCCTCTGGAATAGGAGACTGCAGGAAGATGGTTTTCCCACATCTATTGCAAGGTTGTCTGTATTACATTGGCCTGTGCATTTACTGTCATTTACTGTCAGTGTTTTGGCATAATAGCTTTTCTTTCTGTGGGAAATACCAGGGGCATACTAGTTGAAGTTGCTGAAGACTGGCAAGCTTTTACTGACATCAGTGCTTGTCCCCAGTAATTTCAATGAAGGAGGCCTTTTAGGAGACAGTCACGTGAATCCAATACCTCAGCCTAGCAAAACAGGCTAGAGGGAATTCAAAATACTCACCACCGTGCTTCTACCTGTCACTAAAAGCACAGTCTGTCAGTTATTATCTATCAAGACTTTCTGGGTTTAAATACAGGCAGAAATAAGCCCGAATGGCAAAGCACTTCACTGAGTCCTAAGATGCTTTAGTCTTGTATGTTTCAGAACTGTTTATGTACAATTTTTTTGGCAGACTATTAAGAAAAAAATTAACATGACCTTAGAGAGCTGGTAATTAGTTGTAAACAACATGGTCTGAAGGGAGGGTATTTTGCTTCCTGAATGGTTACTGTATGTGCCACCATCTGTCTGTCCATATGTGTTTTTTTTCCTACACCCAGCAAATGCTGTAAACCAAGGCAACAAAAAAGGACCACACTTGTTAAAGTTACAGTTCTGAACCATTTCACAAAAGCTCTTTCATCTGATATTTTTAGTCCTATTGAACATAAAACTTTCTTAAACTTCCCATGGTTTCCACTTTCACACTGCTAGTGAAGCTTTTTAATCGTCAGAGATTATGGGAATACTAATAAACATGTTATCTTGAATTTGTGCTGCCAAGTAATGCTTCCTAAAGTTCTGCAGGACATAGTCCTAATGTATTCTTGTGCTTTTCACATTACTGGTGCTACTAGAGGTCTGCCGATGCTCTGCAACAGGGGAAACTATTAAGAAACTGTACTGCGAGGGAAGTTTCAGTCTCACTGGAGGCTTTGCTTTCTGGTTTAGATGTTACAAGTACAGAAATCTTCAACTGATGCCAGTATATGCCTGCTTTACACTGACTTCCAGATACAGAAGACTGAAGAATATCTGGATGTTTTAATTTCTTCTTATTTCTTCTTAGCCTGTATCTTTTAAAGAAAAATATGTTGCGTGCACATCTTCTTTAGTAGACAGTTGTTAAAATTATGCCTTAAGGGTATGTATGTTTTGAGGTATAAAATCTGAGAAGGAAGGTCCTGCATCTGAATACATAGTCCCTGCTAAAAATCTAAGTTTCCTTTTCATGATATCTTCAAATTGTTTGATGTCTCTCACTTTTACTTTTAGATCACAATGAATACTATATAGATGATGTGTGCATGTTGCAGCTACTGAAGGGCCTCTGTCTGAAACACTTGGGAAGACTCATGCAAGCTGAACTGTGTTTCAGTAAAGTAATTCAAAGGTAAAAATAACATAAATAGACTTTTTACCTTTCTATTTTGTAGCTTTTGCTGAAATTTATGATACTCCTGTAGAAGCTGTCATATTAGAATTTTGAATAATTAAACTTCAGCATGTTGTTACGGAGCTGGAATTTAAATACCTCCAAAAGTAGTTGGAGAACCACAATACTTTGCTAGTATTTTTCTATAGCAATTTAACGTTATACAGTTTTACATAAATGTGATGTTTTAGGCCAAATAAATCAAACTGATGGGTAATGCGTTTATCTAAATACATTCGGAGTTAGTATTTTTGTATTTGCAGAACTATCAATATAAGTAAATAAAATACACATGGATTTCCTGGTGTGGTTTTTTCTCCCCCCCCCCTCCCCACCCAGGATTTTGTGCTTCAGTAGTTAATGCTTCTCTATGTAGATGAGAAACTGTTGTTGTTACTTGTTTCAGCTGGAAACTTGGATTTGTTTTGTTACAGATTTATCAAATACTTTAAATGTCAGATCTATATCTAATGTAATAACTTTTCTGTGTATAACATTAAGTTATGTACTGATTGTAGTTGTAAATGTTTTAGAATTTTTAGAGTAATTAGACTGAAAAAGCAGTTTGGACCCATGCAATTTTTCTAACAAATAGTTTAGAAAAAATAATATTTAAGGAGAATTTGTTACATATAATTCTGTTGTTTGTTATCCTTTTTGTTGCCATCTTGCCTTCTCTTGCGATTTCTAAGATCCCAAGTGAGTTTAGTCAAGCACTTTGCAAGTTATAGGGCAGTGGGTTTGGATTGGTTACAAGTTAAAAGAATGCTGTTTCTGAAAACCTTGCTCCAAAGGTAGTTGACACAGTGGAGGCTTTTAGAGCTGAGACATCTAAAAAATCTTTGGACAACACTTCTTCATAAAGCAGATGTTTTGCATGAGAAGAAGGAGAAATTTTCTGGTAAATTAAATATCCACATTTTGGTCAGCTTTACTCTCTACATTTGTGGGCTCCTACAGTACATTAAGGCTGTTTATTATTAAGACTTGTAAGCAGTCTCCTTGCTTGAAGACACACTTTCTGTGCACCAGGGCTTGTCTTGGTGGATGAGAAGTGCTGCTACCAAAATGTTGAGAGCTTTTTCAGGGCTTTTTGCGAACTTTTCCGTTCTGCAATATTGGTTGATGTTATTCTATCCAAATAAGAATCAAAGAGTTGATTATAAAAGACACAGGAAAGGCTAAAGATATGAGATGCCTTCTTCACCTCATTTTGTAGTGGCAAGATCAATCTTCAGGAGTTCCAGATTCATGAAACCTGTGGGAAAGTCTGGAACAAGCAAGAATTGCTGTTGATGGGTGGAGGAGGATCAGGTTAGGAAAAGTATGAACAGACCAGACATGCATATGTCCATGGCAACTGAACATACCTAAGTACATGGGACATGGGCACATATCTGTGAGTGCTGAGAGATCATGGGCATCATGATAAACCCCAAGTTGACCATGAGCCAGCTGTGTTCCTTTGCAACAAAGGCAGACAGCTGTATCCTGCATTACATTAGGAAAAGTGTCATTAGCAAGTTGAGGGTGGTGATTCTTCCTCCCCTCTCAGCTGTGGTGAGGCCACATCTGGAGTACTGTGTCTAGTCCTGGACTCACTGGTACAAGGGAGACATGGGTGTACTGAAGCAAGTCTTAACAAAGGGCCACAAAGATGGTCAAAGGATTGAAGCATCTGTCATGTGAGAAGAAGCTCAGAGAGATGGGAGTGTTCAGCCTGCAGAAGTCCTGAAAGGGTTAGCTGAAGGGAGTGTGTTTTTTTTTTTAGAAAAGCAACAAACAAACAAAAAACCCAACAAAAACCAACCAAACAAAAAAAGAGCCAAACAGTGGTGCCTAGTGACAGAACAAGAAGTAATGGGCACAAACGGAAATACAGGTAATACTGGGGTTTTTTTGTGCTGTCAAGTTGGTCAAACTCTGGCACAGGTTACCCAGAGAGACTGTGGAGTCTCCATCCTTGGAGATATTTGAAACCTACGTGGACACTGTACTGGACAGGTTGCTGCTGTTTACCTTGCTTTGAGCAGGGGCTTGGACTTATATGATCTCCAGAGATTCCTTCCAGCCACAGTGATTATGAGGATTTCTTGTATTGAGGAAAAGTTGAATTTTCTTACTTCTCTGCTGATTTGTTCAGGCAAGCTGGGGTAAGGGCATCTCAATTCTGTGTGTGATAAAGAAGTATTTGTATAACACTACCTAACCTAATGGATGTTTTTTTTATGTCAAATCATTTTTTTGTATGGTTGGGGTTTTTTTTAACTGTAAGTTGCACAATAGGCTCTCAGTCTTGGAACTGTACTCATGGTGGCTTGGGTAACACGCCATAATATGAATAGGAAGTAGGAAGAAATGAATTTTTGCTTCTAGAAGGTAATGTTGGCAGTATTTTATGTCCACTCTTTACAGGTATAGTTAACATGCACAGAGTTAACCAGTAAAAAAGGTTCCAGAGTGTTTTCTCTGGAGGAAAGCTTGTAATTAACCACTTCCGTCTTTTTCTTGTTTTCTAGTGAGAAGCAAATAAAATACGACAGTTATTTGGTGCCGTTCACCCTGTATGAGTTGGGTCTTCTGTACAAACAGCAAGATGAGAGAGAAAAAGCAATAAGATATATAGAAATTGCAAAGTGAGTTAATTTTTTCTTATTTTTATCAGCTTTTAGATTATAAGAATAACTGCAACTGCAGCAATGAAGGCATGTGTTTTTTCTTCGTGCCCCATTGTAAAATACAAGTAATTAAAAATCTGTGTTCTTCACTTGGAAAAGTTGTCTGATATAGTTGAATTTTACAGTTTCAAGAAACTCTGTTCTTCAGAAACAGTGGAGTAAACGGTATCAAACCAGAGAGAGTATGAAGGGAAAATGTCTCCTTTTCATTTAGGCTTCAGAGATGCTGAGTCTCCACTGCATGCGTGGGATGGAGCTGGAGAGTCTAGAGAAAGGATCTGCCTGACCTCTGTCCCAGAGAACAGCTGGGGGGCTTACATCCGCTGCAGTAAAGGTGTTAGTGGGAGTAGGTTAAAAGCCAATACACTACCACCTTGCTTTTTCCTTTCACATGTGTTGCAGAAGAGCTGTGGAGAGATAAATTTACTGTAGAGCAGCATGTTTGCTTCATCTGTAGATTGTTGTGGGGGTAGAATTTGCCTCTTGTGCATACAGAGAGGTATACCAATCATGCAGTAGTGTTACAAATGTGAGTTTTTAAAAACCTTTTATAGAAATGTAGTAGTTGTTTGCCTTGTTTGTTTGGATTACATAATGTCATTTCCCTGTGTTTCATTACCCTGCTGAGCTGTGTTTTGAAGCTGAACATACACTTTCAGCTAATAGCCTTTCTTCTCTGTAGTCTTTTAGCTGGTCTTTTCATATCAAACTTCAGTAATTGGGAGGACTGTAGAAAGGATCAAAATAAGTGAAAGAGATGCTAAGACATGGATTCAATTTATCAGGACACTTTATTGTTAGTACTGGTATAAGTCTCTGCCCGGTTTGTGGATGTAGCACTAAATGTCTCACAACTCATTTGTGTGTCAGCCTCTGTTTCCTGTTGAATGAATGAACTCTATTAACTTTGGTACTTCGGTGCATGTATAAAGTAGAAACAATCCAGGCCAAAAATGTTTTTCTTAAATTAACTTTGTTGTTCGCAGAAACAACTACAAAGAATACTCTATGGAGTCCAGGTTGCACTTCAGAATTCATGCAGCACTTGACAGCTTGAAGGTGTCGCCTGCTTCAACACCTTGAATGAGGAGAGATGCTTTTCATGCATGCAATAGACTACACAATCTTTTTGCAATCTTTTTTTAATAATGGAAAAGAAACAACCTAATGATTGTTTTCTGTCATCTCTGATTTGATGTATGTCATTCCTTTAGACTGTTCTTTTTCTGTATAGTGCATTTACTATATCTACTTGATGCTGTAAAGAAGACCTTATATTTTGTTTGATAGGAATAATTTACTATTTGACTTGAATGGGGGATATTTTTAAAGAAGTTGATGGTGCAATAAAGTTTACTGCAAACACTTTATTTTTTTATATGAAAACAGATGCTGGTTGTGCAGTAAAACTGCTGATAATTTGTGCACTTTGTGAAGGTTTGATATTTTGCAGTCTGCTTGAGACCTTTTTCCCTCTGGAACAAAAATGTAATATCTGCAGATAACCTTTACCCACATTTGGCATACCATATTCTGAAATCTGTGTTCCAGAGGAAAAAAAATCATAATATTTGACTTAATTTCATTTTGGGAACAAAGTGAACCTGTCTGAAGTGCAATATTTTTACACTGTCAGATAAAGTTAAGTAGGGCTACAGGTATAATGTCTTTGCAGGTATAATGTCTTTGGAGATCTGTTTCCCTCAAAGTGGTTTCAGGTGATATTTTCCAGTCATAGAAAAGCGAGGCTACTAGAGACATTAAGAGATCACGTATTCTGTATCCTTGCCCTAAAGCAGAATCAAAAGTCTTACGCCATTCCTGACAGATACTTCTTTAACTTATTCCTTTTTTAAAAAAACTTACACTGAGAAAGATTTTGTAACTTATGCAGGATGCCTTTCCCAGTGGGAAAAGACTGGAAATTTTTTCCTGATCTCTGCCCCAAATAATTCTTGACACAACCAAAAGTGATTTCTTCCATCCTTTCCTGTCGTGGATTTGGAGACAGGATTGTTCTTTCCCTTTTCTGAAGCAGTCTTTTAATATGTGAAGACTGATCCCCTTGTTGCTATTCTCAAAATACCATCCAAACCAAAATAAATAAAAATTTGCAGAATTTATTTTCCTAAAAATAGGAATAACTCATGTTAATGCAAGTTGATTGTGCATGAAAGAGTAAATCCACTTTTAAACATGGAGTTAAGAAAATGTGCATATTCTAATCACAACTTCTTAGTTTCTACCAAAAATGTGTGGTAAAATTGAGATAAATTTATAAGTGCATGTAGTTTTTCTTTTCACATTACTATGTGAACAGCGATATCAATTTGAGTTTTGCAATTCATTATATATGCAGATTCTGCTAGCTGTCTGTTCTTGAATAAAAATCAAGTATATTCTTATTTTTAAGTATACACCCATAACTATTCTTTCACTAATTATTGTAAAACTATTTCCATATTTTATTAGTGCTAGTATATTTACTTCTGCACAGTAAATTCATAGTAGCTATGTTCCTGTATGTGATTCTCTGCCCTTAACTCCCACCCAAGAAAAAACAGAACAAAGGAAATAGGTGAAAAATGTGTCTTCAGTAGATGAGTAAGTTTCTAATTAAACCATCAATATAATTTAAATGCTGTAGTTATTCTTCTCAGGTGATGGAGAGCAAAGCTTTCTTCTATGACTTTATAAATGAGTTATTTAAATGCATATAAATCTGTAATACAGTGGCATACTTTACAGGTGAAGTAAGAGTTTAAAAATATTAGCTAAATAAACATAATGGGTCTTTCAAAGTGGAAACCTAATCCAAAGGCTGTTGTCTTCGCTACTTTGGATTTGTGCCTATTGTAAATGCATAACTAAATTATTGTGTAAAATTATACACATGTAGGTTTGAAGCTTAGATACCTGAGACACTGAATCACTGATAAATTGCAGCATGCTTATTTAAAAATATATTCTACTGACTCTAGCTAAAGTACAAAAGATATTTGTCTCTGTCAACAGAGATTACCGCATGCTACCAACTGACTTCTCTAATTACTTTGCCCATTGATGCATACGTGATTATAAGCTGTAGCAACAATAAAATTATGTATATTATATTTTCAGACAATACTTTTAATACCTCTTTTGATATTTACATGTTCAGTTTAGCATTATTTTGGTTTGACCTGATTATTGGATTGTAGCAATCAAATGGGACGACTTCATTTTTTCATGAAAGGTGCTGAAAACAATTGCTGGTAAAACTTTTATAATTTGTGTTTCAAATAGTAATTCATTCTACAGAAGAGTTAGAACTGGGACTACAGACTCTCAGGATGGAGAATGAAGTAGTCTCTGATCTCGTTTTTGTGGGGAATGTCTTACAGTTCATATTTTAAGGATGATTTGGGACAGAGATCAAAATTAACAAAAAGTAAACAATGAGCTTTGTTAGAAGCTGATTTTTTGAAAGTTTAGCACAAAGTGTCATTTAGCAGTGTACTTTTTTTCATGGATAATGAAACGGAATGCAGAGAGAGTAAAAAAGAACTTTGTTTTCTTCAGTTCAGCCTTCCAAAGTCAATATTAACGCCCTGTGTATGTTACAGTTTGTCTCTTTTGGGATCAGCCTTTTTGTACTCATGCAGAGAAAAGGCGTATCATCACAAATTTGCAATGCCCCCTGTAGTGTTTTGATGCCCTGAGGTCCCCAGCATAAATGCTATCTACAGCTTGTCTCCTTTTCTGTGCTGCTATTCCAAACTTGTTTGTTAGAAAGCCTGATTGATCAAGATTCTTAGCTTTATTCTGGATTTTTTTCCCAATTTATTAACAGTGGAAAGATAAATATGTGAGAACGATTTGTAGCCCTTCACTGAAGGTAGGACTCAGTAGACCTGTAGAGATGCTTTCTCTTACAAATGCCGCAGAAGCAGCACATCTCCTGACACAGCGCATCATTGATGCAGTATTACTTAGTACATTATGTCTAACTTAGGAGAAGTGATTTGTGGCTAGGAGTTCAGAAAAAAAGTCCATGGCTTTTTTTTTTTTTTTTTTTTTTTTTTTAACCTGCTGTATACTGTACTGGGCCTTAAATACAACTCTGATTTAGTCTTACTGCTCTCATTAACCTTCACCTCACTTGCTCATGTCCCATGGGAATTTTGAATAATGAGTTAAAACCTTGAAACTCAGCAGAGCTGAGAATTTACCTGTGATGCTATAACCTCTGTTGATAATAGTAGGGATTATATACAAGAGCAAAGCTAAGTCCTTAGTTTAAGCAAACATGGCAAAATTTACATAATTGTGTTATGACAAAAGGTCACTCTGATCTTCCTGATAATGTATATTTTTTTAAGGTGAGGAATAATAAAGTAATCTGGTCATAAGACAAATTTTCTCTTTGATTAAGAATTGTCAATTTAGAAAATATTACAAAAAATTCCTTGTCTGTGCATATCATTCAAATGTTAGTCTGTTGGTGAAAGGTCATTATATTATGGTTTTCAAGTCCTAGCTCACCAGTATTTATCAAAAATGGAAAGAAAATACATGTTAGAAGAAAGCTGATTAAAGATTGTTTTATATCTCTACTCATACACATGGGTAGCAGCTGTATTTAGCACCTTATGGCCAGAAAAAATGTACAGTAATCAATCCTGTTATGTTTCTAAAGTGCCTTGCCAATTAATACATAAAAGAAATAATGTCTTGTAACAAATCCAACTTAGACTTTGCAATTATTTTATTACTGATCATAATGTTTAATGTCCTTTTGTTTCTGTATGTTCTTATACTACATAGTTAAACAAAAAATGTTTATATTTGCATTGGTGGTGGAGTTTATTTGCTTCTAAACTATTGAGGTTTCTTCATGTTCATATCTGGTACTTGAGTAGAACAAAGGTCAGAATACTGGAGGATGGGGATTAATAAGTAAATTCTGGTTTTAAGAGCATGTAGAAGTGTTCATTTTGATGTATTGGGATGGATTCTCACTTAATAGGAATAAATCGTATTTCATGCTTGAGCTGCCAAGTGCCAAATTTGGCACTGTATGCTAGTTGTGAATAAAGAACCTTCAGCTAAGATTTATCAAAACAACATCAACAAAAACCGCCTAATCTCAAGTTTAAACACGCTATCTCTGGTGTATAGCTCTTTTATACAAAATGTCTAGGCTGGAAGGTTGTACAAACCTATCAGGACCTAGGGAGAAAATAAAGGGTCTTTTGAAACATAGATAGCAAATATAAAATAAACTACTTTAGTCTTAATTTCTCACCAGAGATCAAATAATACCTTTAAATGGTATAAAATACAGGAGTGATTAATAATGAACTCATTCTGTTATCAGTTACATCATTAAATTCAGTGAGAACTAGACATAATACGCAGATAGAATTCTTTTAAAATCCCAACATTAAAAACAGAGAGAAAATGATCTTTATTTATGTGTGCAGGACTTGGTTTTAGTAATATTAAGAAAAGTAAATCTTCAAAGTTATTTTTTAATGTGGCATGTTAAAGGTTTCCATAGGTGCATGTGATTTTACCTGATATTTTTCAGCAAATAGGTCAACTTATTTACCATGGTTTGAATGATAAGAAGGGTGATTATGGTTATGAGAACAAAGATAACAGATAACTTAGCTCACAGAAGATCAAAGGAATGGAGATGATCCTGCATATTTGTTTTTTATCTGTAAGACGCTAATTTACTCTCAATTATTAGACATACCATAGTCCGGAATAAAACCTTTGTAGCTAGAGTGCTTGCAGAGTATTGAATAAAGGAAGTGCACTGAATAGAAGGAAAAGAAGATAACACTGAAGAAAGATGTTGGTGCAAAAATAGGATCTACGTCTGCATTCATGCAAGCATTTTGCGGAAGTTATGTTACATTTATAAGTCTAAGCTATAATCGCCCAATAAGCTCAATGCTTGGACTTCCTGTATTCTGGCCAGCGGTAGGATATCAGTGCTGGGACCTTGACTTTGGTTGTTTGTGGGGGTTTTTTGTTGTTTGTTTTTGCCTTTTTTTTTTTTTTAATCTGGTCTTATAATTTAGTCATTTTAAAATAAATCCTGTAGGACAGCTTCATAAAGAAATTAAGCATTGTGGCTCTGAACTTTGCAGTTTGTAGAAGAGTAGCCTCTGGAAAAAGTAAGAGCCTATGGTTAGCATAGCAAAATCAATGTTTAATGAATGCAAAATTAAATATTCTTCTTTTTGTAGAAGTGTAAACATGCAGTTCCAGTCTGTGGGAAAGCACATGATAGCTAGTAATCACAGCTAGGAATGCTCTCCTAG